AAAAAAACCCAGCCCGTTTAGGGTTTAGGGTATTTAGGGTTTAGGGTGTAGGGTCTTTAGGTTGCCATAATAATAAGGGAACCCCATCTTATTTACTGTAGAACATGATCAAGGATACTCGACAGAAAACCCCCAGAAGCCGCAGAGTTCCAGAATTAGAGTGTGCAGCAATGAGGGTTTCGGGCTCATGACATAGCTCTCACCTCAGGTGACTTGGAGTTTAGGGTTTACATAAAAAAAAAACAAAAAGTAGGTAAAGTCATGGCCCAACGCCTGAAAAAAGGTTACTGTTCTACATACTGTGGGGGTCTGGGTAGGTAGGAACCAATGAAAGGTGTTATCGCCAAACTCCTAAACCCTAAACTCTTGGGGAGGCTTTGTAGGAAGTACTTTCGGATTTTGGGGCTCATCGCTCCCATCTACGATTTCGCTTACCCTAAGGGTCCAAAGGACCTGATAACCATGTACTTGGGTTACGGATAGTAGTTTTGTAGGTTGGTAGTCAGAAGAGTATATGATTATTAGGCACTTAGACCCTTAGGGCTATTGCTAAAAAAAGGCTTCATGGTGTTGGGGGGCGTACGCATAGTAAGGAACCCGTAGGGCATCCACTGCCTAAGTTTTTTGTGTGACATGCCAAAGTGCTACAGAGCCGACAATTATCAGCATATAAATATATACATATTATACATAGTCTATATATATATATATACATATACATACACATATTTATACTTGTATCCGTGTTAATTAGTAGATTGCAGCGGTCCTCTTCAGTGCAGTCCGTGCCTTGCTTGTGAAAATGTGTGGCTTTCATTTTCGGGTATTCCCCTTGGCACCCAAGCAGGGGCCGCGTGGCGCTTCAAATGGGGCTTGCGACGGTTGGAGTGCAGAATGTCGAGCCATAGGTCGTTCGACAATTCGTTTCCGAAGACTCAATCACAAGGAGAATAATTAAACGTCGCATGCAAATCGTCAGACGCTCTGCACACATGAACCCAAAAACCCAAAACCGTGCACCGACAAACCCGCCACGCGGACCCCTCAGACCCTAGAAATGCAAACTGCACAGCCACATACCCCCAAAATCTCAAGCCCAAAAACCTGCATCTGGAACCTAAAGCGGAATTGTTGGATCCGCACCAAGAACCCTGATACGAACCAGGGGATCTGAAGCAAAAAATACCAACAGCCGCGCCACCTTTAAACGTGCAAACCTCAAGCCCGTTTTTTTTTCGGGTTTATCCAAAATTTTACATGCCACCCTAGCCACTCTACCGCCCGGCCTAACCAAACAAAGCACTAAGCCCAGCCACTCTAGGCCCCTCATGATGGATTCCACTTTGCCCAGACGTTCTCGCAATTTCCGCCACCGGCGCTTCTTCATCGAAGAGGCCGTCTTCCGAAGCAAACCTGGGGCTTAAGGCTGTAGGGCACTGTAGGGTTCTTCCATTCGCCCTAAAGCCTAAAGCCCTTAAACCCCTAAGGCGCAAGCCCCAGAACCGTAGACCCAAAACCCCAAAACCCCCAAACAAAACGTCAGCCCCCAAGCCTTAAGCCTTCAAGGGGTGCCCATACTGGTACTTTGTGAGGCCTATATGGGCACACGGAGCCTTAGGGTAGAGCCTCAATCCCCGTGTGCGTCTTCCGAAACCTAGGGCAGACTGGAGCTTCCGGGCTTAAAAAATGCAGAATTCTGGGTTGAGGGTTGAGGGTATAGGGTTTAGGGCTTAGGGTTTAGGGTTTAGGGTTTAGGGCTTAGGGTTTAGGGTTTAGGGTTTGTTTAGGGTTTAGGGTTTAGGGTTTAGGGTTTAGGGTTTTCTGGGTTGTGAGTTGAGGGTATAGGGCTTAGGGTTATGAGTCTTCCGAAGCAAAGCTGGGAAACCGAAAGCAGCCTTTAGGTATATATCTTTCATGGGATCGCATTAAATTCATCTTAAATTTGGGGGGTCATGTATTATATAGGGGGGGTTCCGGAACAAGCTTGCGAGTTTTGGGCTTCCAGGTTTGGATGGCCCAGGGCTGAGGGATATCAAGGAACTGATGTAGGGGTTTAGTAGGCTGAAAACAGAAAGAAGACCAAATACAGATGACAGCATACATAATGCCAGCGGATTTTCTGCAACCAACAACGAGGCAACAAGAGTTTATGAGCAAGCCATGACTGCCGGTCAATGTCATGTGTTGTTGTCTTCATGCAAAAGACGAAAGCCCAAACCCAAACACCCACCAACCCAAACACAAAACTTCAAGCGTCGAAGCCCGAAATGCTCCAGCCCGAAACCCTCCACTGCCTACATTCCCTGAACGCAAATTCCGACAATACTTAAACCCTAAATCCTCAATCCTCATTCCCTCAACCTTATGCCCTCAATTCGAGACCCAGGAACCCAGAAGCACCAGCAGGCCCGCCACGATCACAGGCCAGTGCCACCAAATGCAGCCGCCGTTCAAGAAAACATAGGGGAACTTGCAAGATCTGCATACCACGTCTTCAGCGAAAGCGTACATGTTCCTTGGACACCGCAAGTCTTCAGTCCTCGATTATAATTACGGATATCGACCACAGTCCTCTGCGTCTGTGGTAACCGCGGACTTGCATTTCGCCGTTGCTGTTTTTCTGCCCCTGTGCCTTTATTCCAGAGGCCAACAAACCACCCCAACCTCAACCTGAAACCCCGGAAGCCGGCAAAATTAGGACTATTCCGCAGACTGCCCTATGTAGACCCTAAACCTTACCTGGACCAGGAATAGTTCCTGAGGAAGGTATGCTATTTTGGGTTTGGATGAGAATTTCGAGTGTCGGCAGCAAGTGGAACAGGAAAAAACACGATCGATCGGTCTTCGAGGATTCGAGGATTCTGCGAAACTCCGTAACCCGAAGCCCAACCCTGCTGTGGCAACGGGTCTCATTGGCGATTCTCCAATATTCTCAATCCGATGAATCCAAATGCAAGCTCTTAATTGTTTCAACAAGGAGTTTAAATCTAAACAGCACAGATTCGGGTCCATCGATAAAACCGCATCCCACAAATGCTGCAAGCTTACCAATGGCCGAATATTAAACGACAGGTCACCGGTTGCATGATCGCACAGTCTCGATTTCACGACCTAGGACCTCACCACCACGCTTCAACGAAACGCATCCCCCGACCGGTCTTCTGGGTTGCAGGGTTTGGGGGGGGGGGGGGTTTCAAAGCGCGGTTTGGCTGCCCATAATAACCCCACTTGTCAAGATTTTTACGGGAACTAAAGGTTAACCTTTTGGGATTATATGGGGAAAAGTTAAAACTTTCCTACTTTACGATAACTGCTAAGTAACCTTAGGGCCCAGAATACAGTTGGCAGGTCATGGTTTGTGAAGCCCCAACCCATGCATCCTATATCTTTAATTCCAAGGCGTAAATAGAAACCGACAAGTGTGCAATCCTAAACCGCGGAACCCGCACCCCCTGAACATCCTGACGCCTCAGGAAGCACCACAAACGCGGCCCTAAGCCCTAACGTAAACCCTTTTTCGTTGCTGGGGGCAACGCTTAAATCTTAAACTAGACCCGAAGCCTTACTAATTGTTTGAAGTATTGAAAATGAATTCGGTGCGTTGTTCATTTTGTTCCTATCTAGGTGGTCTAATTGTCGGTTGATCTGGCTGGGGTTCCAGGCCGCCAGAGGCCTTATTGCAACTTGAAAAATATTTCTGTTTTGACACAGTTCAAACGTTCTTCTTTATGCGGTGTCTTCGTAAATTCCAATTTCAAACTTGCAAAGACTAGACCCGAAAGATCCTACATATATATATATATACACACACACATACATTTGTACTTATTCATATTATATTCAGCTATCTATTTATTTGCTATTTACTTATCATTCATTTGTGTATTATGTAAATATATATATATATGTATGTAT